GGCGGTACGAGAGATGGAATGGAGCGTTGCTGTATTGGTGAATAATGCTATTAATAATTATTTGCGTCACATCTTGTAAATGAAGTACAAAATTTGAAATGTTTGATAACGTAGATTTTAGTTTAGTACTCAATTATCGTTTCCTCCTAATTGCTTCCGCGTTTTCTCATGCTTATGGCTGATAATTCCATCTATCACGTCTCAACGAACGTGTGTTTACCCGGAGTAGTACTGAAATCGGCATTGGTTCAAGGGAAGCTTTCAGTGTGTTGCATCAACAGCCAGAGTATTTGTGCTCGCAAGCTTAGTAAACTCGACGAATTACGCCAAATACTTTCTATAGCAAGAGTTGATGTTGTTTGTTTGACTGAGTCCTGGCTCAATGAGAGAATAGATAGCACCATTTTATCAATGCAAGGTTATAATCTCGTTAGACATGACAGAGTGGGACGACTAGGAGGGGGAGTTCTGATTTATATAAAAAAAGGAATCAAATTCAATGTTGTCGGGAAATCGGAAAATCGAGCTAATGTATCGCAGACCGAATACTTAGCGCTGGAAATTTCAATACGAAATGATAAAATCCTCCTTGCTTGTTTCTATAATCCTCCTGAAGTTGATTGCACTGACGATATTGACAACATTTTACTGAACTTTGGAACTAATTACGGCCATACACTTTTACTTGGAGACTTCAATACAAACCTACTTAGTATTAATGCTACCAGAACCTCTAGATTAATGTCGTGATTAATGATTAATGTTCATCGTTCAATCTTTCTACTCTAGGAAATCAACCAACATTTTTCCATACGAATGGGTCTTCTCAGTTAGATTTAATGCTTTTTAATGATGAGTCCAAAGTTTTAAGATTTAATCAAATAGATGTCCCGATGTTTTCCAATCATGATCTTATATTTGCTTCGTTTGATTTTGACATGGAACAGTGCGATAACATAACTTCTTTTCGGGATTACAATTCCATGGATGTTGATGGGCTGTTGGATGCTTATAATGAACTCGAGTGGTTGAGTTTCTATCAAACTGCCGATTCACACACTCTTTTAGAGTTTTTCAACACTGCTATGACAAATCTGTACGATGATTTCGTTCCTACTCGTGTTCTCAATTCAGATAAAAAAGAAAACTCCTGGTTTAACAGTTCAATAAGCAAAGCTATGGTTGATCGTGACTTGGCGTACAAAGCGTGGAAAAATTCAAAGCTCATTGATGATCACAATTGATTCAAACGACTACGCAATAAAGTCAACCAGCTCATTCATAATGCGAAAAAAACTATTTTACAGTGCATCTAGATCCCAAATTACCCGCCCAAGAATTATGGAAAAGATTAAAATCAATGGGTGTTGGTAAAACCAACTCTTGTCCGATCAACGGATTAAATTCCGATGAAATTAATGTAAGTTTCGCCAAGAACTTTAGCTGTTCTAGTAATTCGAATGAATATAATTTCCAAAGTCAAAATGAAGAACACATTCCTGAGAATGAATTCTACTTTGATATCGTCAGTGAGGTCGATGTAATTAATGCAATGTATCATGTAAAATCAAACGCAGTTGCACTAGATTTGCTTCCATTGAAATTTTTGAAAACTATTTGCCCTTAAGTTATAAAACCAATTACTCACATATTTAATTCCATCATCTTATCCAGCCGATTTCCCGATGGATGGAAAAAGTCAAAAATTATTCCCATAAAAAAGAAATCTTCCGGTGATGCCATAGGCAACCTACGTCCGATTAGTATTCTAAGCGCTTTATCCAAAGTTTTTGAACGTTTGTTGAAGCTGCAAATTTGTCAATACGTCGATCACAATAATCTTCTCAATACCCATCAATCAGGATATCGTCCAAAACACAGTGCGAAAACTGCGATGTTAAAAGTTTTTGACGATATTGGTATTGTCTTGGATAATAACAAGCCGGTAGTTTTGATACTCCTGGATTATTCAAAAGCATTTCATACTATTTCCCATAAAATAATGTGCAGAAAACTTCGTCAAAATTTCAATTTCTCTAATCATGCGATAACTTTAATTCAGTCTTATTTGAAGGGTCGAATGCAAGCCGTTTGCAATAATGGAATACTTTCAGCCTTCATTCCTATTTCTTCGGGAGTACCCCAGGGTTCTATTCTTGGCCCAATTTTGTTTTCCTTATACATAAATGACTTGCCCGGTGTACTAAAGTATTGCAAAATTCATCTTTTTGCCGATGATGTCCAATTGTACTTTGATTGTTCAGGAACCTCTGCTTCTGATATCTCGGAAAAAATCAATGCAGATCTAGCCAGAGTTTACGAATGGTCTTCTAACAACATGTTGTCTATTAATATTAAGAAAACACATGCTATTTTTATCAGTAACAGTAGAGGAAATTATGTTTTGAAACCCACTTTGGTATTTAACAACCAAAATATTGAATTTAAAGAGCATGCTACTAGCCTTGGAGTGACAATTCAAGAAAATTTCTCATTTGACAAATTTATCTTAAAACAGTGTGGCAAAATATTTGCTGGTTTGAAAACACTAAACCTAGCCTGCTCATTCCTTAGTGTGGACACCAAGATTAAATTGTTTAAAAGCTTGCTTTTTCCTCACTTCATTGCATGCGATTTTCTTTTGTTCGAAGTTTCGTCTTTCGCTCTGTCTAGACTACGAGTTGCACTTAATTCTTGCGTACGCTATGTTTTTTAACTTAAATAGATTCTCAAGTGTTTCACACCTACAACATCAACTCATTGGTTGTCCCTTTGATAAATTCGGTCACATGAGAAGCTGCTTGTTTCTATTCAGTCTTGCTGCCACAAAACAACCCGGCTATTTGATCAATAAATTGGAGTCTTTCAGAAGCAATCGATCGAGGAAGTACAAACTGCCGCGCTTCAACACATCAAGGTATGGAAAATCCTTTTTCGTTAGAGGCGTGATTCAATGGAATTTACTTCCCAACGATTTAACATTAGAAAAATCATTCTTAGCATTTAGGAGGAGATGTATTGAGTACTTTAACTAAACAAAAATGTTTGGTCAATTAATGAATGAGTCAATAATTTAACAAAATCAGTATGGATTAATATTAATTTGACGCCAATTCTACGTGGAAAAACATATGTAACAATTATAAAAAGACGAATGTCTTATGTTACAGATTAGTATTGAATAAATAATAATAATAATAACACTACCATGAGATAGAGGAAATCTTCCCCCACCTGATATAGTGGTGTTAGTATGTGGGGCGAGCTATTAGTTATGCCAAACCGACGATAAAATGCGTTGTTTACAAAAGCTGATATGTCCTTTGGAAAAGTAATCGAGATTTGTAGTTATCATCCAGCCAAGGAGCGCTTGCGCCATCGAGACGACGCTGCTACCAGCAGCCAGTGATCTCGACGGGAACGACGCGCAAAGTTCGAGGTGCAAAACTCGAACGCTGCGTGCTTGACAGGAACCGCCTTCCTACCACAGAGAACAGACGTCCAAGTTCGATCAGAAACTTGTGTAAAGTTAAGTGGAAACGTCGCCGTTACGTACCGCTAGCATCTATTAATTTCCTCTATAAATTTATCACTTTCGACCAATTGGGCGCTAGTATTGATAAATTATCTGTTGAAAATTGCCACTTGGCGCTACCAGCACTTAGTGTCTAGTGTAAGTTTTGTAACGCCAGCGCCATCATGTTGTCAAACATTTTTAAGTGGGGAAGTCGCCGTTAGTTGGCGCTTAAGTCAAATAAGAATCTTTACACAAGTTTTTAGAGAAATTTTGTTCGAGCCTCAAAGTCTGTTCTCTGTGTTCTTACTGCTTCTGCTGTTTCTGCTGCTGCTACCTGCTTACCCGCCGTCCGAAGCGAAAATGAGTTGAGGCACTTTAGGAGCGCTGTTTTATAACTTTTCTGATCCAAGCAGCACGATGTGCAACCAAACTGTACTTGATTATGAGAACGTTTGATTGGGGAGAACGTTTATTTCATGAAAACAGTGATAAAATTATTGAAAAATTGAAAAAAAAAAGTATATTGCAACAGCTTACGAAAGGTTTTTCCTATCGATTGGTGTATTCGGATTTTAATTTCATCTATAAATGACAAAGCTTGTAGCGTCAAAAAGCCAAAACAGTGATTTTAAGGTACTCCTGTCAAGAGTTCACTTAAATATTGTGAAGATGATGATATAGAAGTTTGGTGTCTTGAGCAAAGTTTCATAAAATTTGTTTTTCTACAACATTGCTGAAGACATAAAGCTATTATCTCGAACCAGTAAAAAAAATAGTTTTTGTAAGTGTAATACCAGCGTAATAAAAATTTGGGTAATTATTTCAAAAAAACGTGGACCATTATTACGAGAAACTTCTTCCAAGACACCAAGTCTCTTAAACGACGATAAAGGGGAGAAAAAGGTATTGACCGTCTTTTTTTCCGAATGGTCCCACTGTGCCACGTCGCCACCGAAAGCAAACGGCATGACGCCGCTACGCCGCCGCCGCCGAAAATATTTTGATCGGCGCACAGGTCTAATTTACACTTATGCTAGTTAACTAGCCCAACCAGCTCAATCAACTAGCACGAATTTCAGTTGTTCCTGAAATCTCGTGCTGTTAGATGCTGACACCCTGTTTACATTATGCTGGCTACTTTTTAGTAAACCAGCACAGATCTAAACACCACATAAGAAGGAGACCAACCTTCATCCGTTGCTGTTAGATAGTCATTATCATTAATTGTCATCCCAAGACCTACAAAATCAACATCCCCGAACGCAAATCGAAACAAGACGGCAAATATGATGGAAAGAAGCAACCAAGAGGATGGGCAAGCAGATGACAACGGCAATCGACAACTAAACCAGGCATGCAATGAGTCGTGATTTTTGTTCGTGTTTGTGTCTGCATGGGATGAGTGAAACCAACCAAGGAAATCTGTTCTTTCTCCGGATGAACGTAGTATAAATCATAAAATGAATGAACGAACGCAAAATGGTTGGATTTAATCACTGTTTGCTTCATTTATTACTATAGTTTCACATGTAAAACGTGTTAATCAATTACAACAACATGTTTTCCCTTTGTGTTATATGCCTACCAGAAAATAAAAGTTATCTTGCTTTCGTTCCGTCCAGTCGCGGCTTTTTGTATTCCTTTGTCCAATTGGGTGTGTTTGTGTGTATGTATGTTGGTTGTTTAATTTGTGTTTATTTTGCGACTGGCTTACACACGGGACTTTTGTAAGGTTTAATCGATCCTTCTGTTTATAATTGTACATATAAATAAGATGTATAAGTAATATGGATGTAGAAAATTAAAAAAATATAATAAATTAAAACAATGCTTAAAAAATTAAACACGAAGAAAGTACGCGTTCGGGTTCGGTCTTGCCACCGACCGACCGACCGAATGATCCGAGATGCCGCACGCACCCCGGAAGGCGTATTCTGTCATATTTCCTGGTCGAGTTCAACTATATATCAGTTCAACCTCTAGAGGGTTTCTCTAAAAAACAAGATGTAAAATAAACGAACGAATCCTAGCAGCAAAACAATATCAATACATTTATATCAATTGTATCGACTGTGCAAAAGAAAACCCCTACGTAACTGTAAACTTCTTCCAAACTTCCAACGTGTGTAGGCAAATTTCTCCGGCTGTTTCTTCTCCCTCTTCTGTTCGTTATGAATTGACATGTTCCTTGGCGAGAATTTAATTTCAAATTTGTTTCTGTGGATGTGGCTGTGTGTGTCGGTTTGTTTGTGTTTATTGTCTAACATTGTGTTGACTCGGTCGAATTCTGTACTCATTCCATCAGCGAAACGATGCTGCTAGCATACACATTACACAAGTGACTAAAATGGTTGCCCCACCCTGTCCCGTGCCCCGTCTTCCAGGCTGAGAAGAAGGACGGAGGTGTGTATGTGTGTGATTGTGTGTAATGTGTTTTCCAATTTTTTGTTTGATTTTGTTCTATTTTGTCACAACAGATTAATTTTTGTTTACTCAAATGGAAAGCAGTCTCTAAGTTTGAACATTTTACTTCTAACACAATTTCCTTTATGTTGTGTTGTTGGATTTTCTTTAGCAACATGTTTATTATATTTGTCCTATATGCTTGGTTTAATGGGTGATTACGTAGCTACAGCGCAAATTGCTGGGTATTTTTTGCTTTGTTTCGGTGACTTGTTTTTTTTTTGCATTTGTTAATTCGTTATTTGCACTAATATATAGAGAGGTTATTCAACATATGCGTGTACAAGAGTTGGATTTTGCTTTGAGGACAGCGTGGAGCCTCTCTCCGACAGCCTTCGGTTTGCTCCGGCGTTCTTCTGTGAACGGTAGAATGGAGAGAGAGACTCCGCCAAAAGTATAAATGTTTGTATGAGGGCATCTTCAATAAATCTTGCTACACCTTCGGCGCACTTGACGCGTTCAGCCGACTACAAATATCTTACGACTCATCCCCTTCGGGTTAGGATTGCAATCTTAAATTTTGTCTATCTTCACTTTGTTTATAAATATATATCTTCTTAACAACGGGCCCCACTTGACACACGAGGCGCTCTCCCCTTAAAGCTAAGAATTCATATTACTCCTTCTTTGCATCCCTTCATTTCTTGCCGTCTCTATTCAAAACATATGAAACGGTTGCTCTAATAAATTCTCTGTCTCATTTGTAAATGGTTTATATATGCTTTTTATTTTATAATAATCTTCCGTTTTGCTCTAGAATCCATCATTAGTGTTTCTTTTTTTTTTGTTTTTCTTAAAAGTAGCATCTCTCTAGAATTTGTTTCAAACTTTCTTCATTTCTGCAATTTCGATTTACAGTTACATTTATTTATATATATATATTACTTAGCAATTATGCACTAAATTCTATCTCAGCTCTTGTAGCAACACGCGATCCTGCCTCGTTCACACACGCACACTCATGCAAAACACGCAGCTCAAACTCGCACGCACGCACACACATACTATCGGTTCTGTATTTCTATCGCTTCTCACAGTGTCCACCCCCGTTCCGAGGGATCGCCCATTTGTTTAGACAAATGCCCAGCATTCGAGAGTTTTGATGACAAAGTCCTCCTGTGGCGCCAGCGGTTCGTTCGAGTAGGTGCTGCAGTGCTGCGACCGGCCCTGATTCAGGTCACCGTCCAGCCAGAGGCCGAACTTTCCGCTGAAAGTAGATTGTTGGGAGACATTGTTAGTAAAGATCGGTCAAAATAGTTCGAATCGCTTGCAAGGATCTAGACCATACGATGCTCAATACACAACCAGACAAGTTAGTTTCACAAACTTCTTTTGGAAAATCGAATCTTGCTAGCAGTTTCATGCGAAACCTTCCTGAAAATGATAAACCCTGACGCGAATCTTTCCGAATTAAATGCAAATTTGTTTACGTTTTCGAAAGGGAGGAATATGAATCATCCATAGCTATTGAGACAATTTTTAATTCAAGCATCCAATTTGAAAAGGGCGGAAAAACGCTTCTCATAAACTATTGATTGTACCGAAATGGTGTCTAAGGCTGAGTTGTAGAGAATTAATTTTTAAAGGTGAAAATGGCTCTAATGTTGGCCTATGGATCTAAGATTGGGCCCATTGCTTAAAATCTGCTTTTTTCCAATTTTATCTATAGACGAACGCGGCATTTGGACGGTACTAATGGATATTTTTGGTCGCAATTGAAAATTTAGTCGATTGCTGAATTTATGTATGGGCCAAAATTAGAGGCATTTAGGCTGACATTTCATCTAGATAAAATTGGTAAATAGCAGATTTTAAGCAATGGGCCCAATCTTAGATCCATAGGCCATCATTAGAGCCATTTCTCCTATGAAGTATGAATTTTAACCACTTGTAACGATTTCTGATGTTCTTCTAGAGCGTAGTTCAAAGGTCTGCATGCAAGTCGAGGATTCATTCGCGTGATGTCAAGCCTTATGTCCAACCATTACTCGCTAAATGCACATCTCCACAGAATAAACCTCGTTGACAGCAATATATCACGCAGTTTGCCATTGCCCGGGTAATGACGCCTCCAGAGTACGACTGTTGGATACCCTAGTGGCCCGCGGTAGACAACCCTTCCGTGAAGTAAGAGATGTATTGGGAACCCGTGATCTTCCCTACACGCAGGCGATCTACGAGTTCCTTTGTTTGTCTGATGTTAGAGTTTGATGTGACCATCCCCTCCTTTCCACACATTTTCCAGCCGTGCTCCCCAACGGTAATTGCTGACCTCTGCAGCGCTTTAAAGTTACTGATCAATACCACCTCGCTTTTGTTGTGGCCTATCTGCGGATTCGCTCCATGCATTAGGTTTCCAATCATGTCGACCGCCTCGGTCGCCAACATTTCCAGCTATTCCAGCGTTTTGCATGTTACCGTAAGACGACGTCGTCCGCAAAGCCAACGATCTCAACTCGTTTGGGTAGCTTCACCTTTAGACCGCCGTTTTAAATCACGTTCCAGAGCGTTGGACCAAGGATGGAGCCTTGTGGAATTCCCACCGTGATCCTAGTCGATCTTTGTCCCATATTTGGCTCGTAGATCAGAACCCGGTTCTGGAAGTAGCGTCGGCCTCCCAACTGGAGCTGTTGAATGCATTCTTGACGTCGATCGTTATCACGGCGTAATATCGATCTCCTCTGGACTTCTGTTTCGCCGCCTTCTCGGCTATCTCGACAACTGTCCGAATTGCATCCACTTTTGTTCTTCCTTTTCGAAATCCGAACTGCCTCTCCGACAATCCTTGCTCACTCTCCGTGCATTTCGTCAACCTGTTTAGGATGATCCTCTCCAGGAGTTTTCCGAGTGTATCCAGTGCTACGAGTTGCTCTTGGTGACCTCGTCGTTATCTCCCTCTCCGTCTCCGTACGATGTAGGTGGCCGTGTTGGATCGTGTGTTTCGAGAAAAGTCCTTCCGCGATGACGTTCAGGTTCCTAAGCACATTTCAGCGGGCATGACTTGACATCTGATCTTCGTCATCACGACACGGTGTGCGTCGACTCGACCCAGCTCCAGTTGACAGTTTGACTTGCTCTGCTTTATCTCTCGTTTATGTGCTCGGAACATTCCTGTACGTTCCACCCTGTCTGCTTCTGTTCTTGCTCTCTGAACACGTCTTTTGGCTCTGAGACAACTAGCGCGGAGGGTGCTAATTGCCTCGTTGCAGCAATAAGCTGGAGGTCATCTGTTATTAAGCTCCAGTCACATTCTCTCCCTAACGATTCTGTCAACTCGTCTTCCACTTCAGGTCGCAAGTTTTCGTCCTCTGTTGGCCGATGCCATATCGGATTGCCTGATGGTCACTATGGGTAAATCCTTCACTCACTCTCCAATTCATGTTTTCCACCAGGGACGGATTGCAGTCCGCATAAAGTGACGTCGACGTCCGGCCATCTCTGCGAAAAGTGCTGGTGGTGCTTTTATTGAACATCCTAATTTCCAGCTTTGCCAGAGCTTCCAGCGGAATGTGCCCTCTTGCGTTGGTTCATCTGTTTCCCCACTCTACTGCCTAAGCATGGAAGTCTCCTCCGATTACTACCGGTCTTCGTCCGATCAGCTTTTCGGTAAGCCCAACCAGCGTCTTGTGGAACTGCTCCATCGTCCATCGGGTGCGTAGCAACTGCATATGAATATTCCGTTAATTTTGGCGACCACGAAACCTTCTTCTTGAATGGGGTATTTGACCATAATTTGTATTGCAGCCATCCCAGCTCTATCCGCCACCTAGTTACCTTTATCGGGAGGGACACGATACAGCTGTGTAGCGTCACAATAATTGAGGTTAATTTTAGTTACCTCTGTTATTGTTGCGACAAAACAAATCAGTGTAATTTGGAGCGAAGTGCTTGAGAATTCATGCTTAAAAACCAAAAGGTTCAGCAAAATCTTCAGGCTGACAAAATCGAGGGTAGACCAAATCGGGAGCTGACAAAATTGGGAAAGGACTGTAATAAAAAAAAAATAAAAAAAAATCTTCTCATTCGGTAGTGAGAGCCGATAATATCGTTTCCTTTTCGGCAATTCTTTTACAGTGATTATGATGTGCTTATTCAACCTGCTCGTGAAAGAACGGTAAAGAGCTGTTTACACATATGCTAGCACGAATCTCAGTTGCTCCTTAAATAGCATACTGGTGGATGCTGAAACCAGGTTCACATTATGCTTTCTACTTTTTAGTGTAGTTCTAGTACACTAGCGCTAACAAATCAATTAATAAACTTCTAGTACACTATCACCAGCACTGTTGTAAACATCCTATTCAAAATAACTATCAGTATGAAGTGTTGACAAAATGGGAGCAAGCTAATCTTGCTGAAAACCCAAAATGTCAGTCGGCTTGCAAATTTAGAACTGCCTCTACCAGCATGGAATTCAAGAAGCAACTGAAATTCGTGCTAGTTGGTTGAGCTAGTTGAGCTAGAGCTAGTGGCGTATATGTACCCCCTTAAAATGCGTTCTTTTCCAATAACTTTTTCGTTTGAATTTTCCCATTTTTTAATGTTCTACAAAGTTGAAAGCGCTTTAAACCTGCACATTTTTGCTCAAGGAAACAAATCACTATCTCTTCATTTTAAGGATTAACGACCGTTTTTAAAAAAATTTAACACAATCTTTAAGGGGGTGCATCTTGCAGGTTAACAACTTATACCTTACTATTACATATACAATTCATAGGGGATGGAATTCATAATTCCAAGGGGATTCCTAATGAATTTTCAAATGAAGTTCCTTGATGTTTTGATACGTTTTGCTGTTTTCATGACCATTTCTCCTAATATTAACATTAGGATGGGTTCCCCACTAGCAATGGGCGATCTTGGATCGAAACATAAAAGATCGATTCTTTTGGTTTGATTAATCGATTTTTTGAATCGATCTCAAACACGACAAAAATCCTTTTCATTCGATTCTTGTTTCGATCCATAAAAAAAAGGAGTCTTCAGCTCACGCTCGGGCAGTTAAAAATGTGTCTGAGCAGATCTATAAAGGGTGTCCACGATGAAATTGCCACACACAAAATTGATTCGCAAAATTCGAGTTTTCATCCGATTGCCATCAAATTTTCAGGGATTGAGAAATAACTATTAAACTTCATTTTACCATTTTACTCGTATTTTATTTACAGTCCATACGCAAATGCCCGCACTTTGGCCTTAACCCCGGCCATAAGATTCTGCACAACCTGTGAATCAACCGTTTTTTGCATGTAAACCCATACTTTCTTCAGTTCCTCGACTTTCTTCACTACCTTAGGTAGTTTAAGAAGGTGCTGCTTCATAATCGCCCAGTACTTCTCGATGGGGCGGAGCTCCGGAGTGTTGGGAGGGTTGAACATTTTCGGCACGAAATTGACCTTATTGTCCGCATACCACTTCAGCACGTCCTTGGAGTAGTGGCATGAGGCCAAATCCGGCCAGAAGATTGTTGGGACGTTGTGGGCCTTCAGGAGAGGAAGCAGCCGCTTCTGGAGGCACTCTTTTATGTACACCTGTCCGTTCATCGTGTCCTGGGTCACGAAAGGTGCACTCCGCTTCCCGCACGTGCAGATGGCTTGCCAAACCAGGAATTTCTTCGCAAATTTGGACATCTTCTGAGTGCGGACATGCTCCGGAACGCTGAACTTATCCTTGGCCGTGAAAAACAGGTTGCCGGGGATCTGTTTGAAGTCGGCCTTCACATATGTTTCGTCGTCCATGATGCAGCATTCAACTTTCGTCAGCATGTTGAGGTACAACTTCCTGGCACGGGTTTTGGCGGACTTGTTCTGCTTCTCGTCGCGATTAGGGGCCTTTTGTACCTTGAACGTTCGAAGCCCAGCCTTAGTTTTGGCCTTCTGGACAAAACTTCGGCTTAGGTGCAGCTTCTTAGCCACATCCCTAACGGAGGCGTTCGGATTTCGGTTGAAGGCCCCAACTACGCGGTTGTGATTTTTGGTGTTGTACGGAATACTTTTTCCTTCACTTCTGGGCTTCCGATCGGTGGTCAACCGTTCCTCGAACCGCTTAATCACTCGCGGCACCGTGGAATTCACGATTCCCAACGTTTTAGCGATGGAACGATGCGAGAGATCCTTGTTCTCGTGATGAATGCGCAAGATTTTATCACGCACGAACTGTTCTTTCGACTCCATTTCCGCGAGTTTTGATCACAGGACTTTAAAACTT